GGGGGGTGGGGATGCCTTGTTTGGAAATTTGAATTAAATGATTTTGACCTCAGAACTTGTAGTCCAAAAAATAAAAAGGATGATATCAGAAATGAAGGCATTTGAAGGAACCTAGGAATTGCTTCAATAGGTGATAAAATGAGAAAAAGTAGACCAAGATGGTTGCTAACATGCATAGAAGACCATCTACAGTACCTGTAAGAAGAACCGGTTTGATGCAAGTTGAAGGGGCTAGAAGGGTTAGGGTAGAGGGCAGAGTAAAAAGGGACATGGGTTGGAATAGTAAGAAATGATACAAGTGCTCATATTTGTGTATTGACACTGAACAGAACAGAATAGCGAAACAGGGTTCATGTAGATGGTCTTATATAATTAGGACAAAGCTTAGATGATGAACTGCTTCCTCTCTATTCCTGGAAATGAAAATTGCATTTTTGCATGTCTGGATTATACTCTTGAGGATTATGTTATATAAACATATTATCTGTTTGTATGCATCTTTACAGATAAACTATGTTAGATATAGTATATTGTTTAATGATATAATGAGGGGCTGAGGGTTGCTAGGCAGAGGAGCAGGTGGTAATTGATGGAGAGTCAGAGCAAACTGAGCTTGGTTTGAGGGAGAAGATTGAGTCCACTGTTGCTGGACAGGTAGTAGGATTGGGGAGGGGATGGCTAGGGAGGAAGAAGTTAATAGTGAGAAGGACAATGGTGATACATCTCCAGGTGGTTTTGGATTGAGGGAGGTGCGCACAACAAATACTGAAAAAGGTTATTGTTACAGTGGAAGAGACAGAAAAGGTTGTAGGAGGAAGTTGCGACAAGGTCTATAGCAAGAAGAGAAGATACAGAACGAAACCTCTGAACAATGTTGTAGATAGTGACTCTAAAGCTGAGGATGAAGGAAACCAAGAGGAGGAGGTCATGATGGACGAAACACACATGGTAAGAAGCTCAGTAGACTTGGAAATAGAGAGAAAGAGAGAKGTAGAGGGAGGAGGGGAGTTGTGATTAAATATGGGGGGGATGTCTGACATTGAGGTTGTATTTTTTCTTTTTGTGGTGATATTTTATCACCTATATTGTAATATCCTTCTACTCCTTTCTAATAAATTTTCTTTTTAATTTATCTTAAAAAAAGACTAAACCCTCTCTTCCATTCCTGAAACCTTCAATTTATCCTGTTGCAACTTCTCTATTCAATTGCTTGCTCAAAACTTCTGCAACCAACACAAATAACATTGGAGAAATAGGATCCCCTTGCTCAAAATTTCTGTATTTTGATGGTAGCAGCCAAGGCAACCCTGGTCCTTCAGGAATTGGAGGGGTTATGAGAAATAAGGAAGGACAAATTGTTGCTTTGTATTTGGAACCAATGGGAGTGGGAGAGTTAGTAAGGGCTGAGATGATGGTGGTCTTGCAAGGTGTCCAGATTGCACATCAGCACATGAACTAAATATGGAAAATTTGGTAGTTGAAGGTGATTCTAAGTTGGTATTAGGATGGCTAAAAGAGCCAGAATAGCACTCTGAGGTTATAGAAATGAAATGAAGGAACTTAAGTGGCTGACAAGAAATATGCCATTAAGAATACAATGAGTGAGAAGGTCAGGTAATGCTTGTGCTACACTAGCCAAACAAGGGGTAAATAGGGGCTGTTTGTATTGGACTCGTGTTATTTTCTTGCTATAGAGTTTTGGGAGAGGCTGCAGCTTGCTCTTCTCCTTGGGATGCTTGTAATGCTTCAATTTTAAGATTAATGAAATTATCTTTTACTTATTGAGAAAAAAAGGATCCCATTGCCTCAACCCCTTTGATCATTCACTCGACAACCCATTGCCATTGAGCCATTTTGTATCGAATCTAGAGAATGAACTCCTTCCCCAAACAGATATACCATATCATCCCTACCTGTTCCATCCTCAGTGTATTACAAAGTAGGAAACTGATGTACCTGATTCACCCCTTAAACCTTACCTGAACCACTCAAGAATGACAGATTCTTACCTGAAGGCAACCAGCCATTTACCAATTGATTGAATAACATTCTCTTTTGACTGATCAGTATCCCTATCATCATTTATCAGTGAAGGTGACAGGTTATGGGGGTTTACCTCTTAAAGACTGAAACCATGCCTGAATTGCTCCCCCACATGAACACAAAACTCACACACATAATGCCCTCTATGTGCCCTGTGATATCTTATAGTCTATGCGTGTCCTTGTCTTCAGTCTGTTGAAGTAATTGGATAACTTTTCTATGCTATCCTTCGCTGCTTTTGATGCTTGCCTTCCATTCAACAGGTTGTTGTGGAGAAAAAGATAATGCGTGAGCGTAATTTAACAAGACATGATATTGGTCGGGAAAGATTTGTATCCGAAGTGAGTCTACATACAGTGAGTTAGTTTCAGCTTCATGAGAAATTTCAGTGTTGCTAATCATGTCTGCCTCAACATTCTTGTGGTGACTAGGTCTGGAGATGGAAGGATGAATATGGGGGAACCATTTTAAATCAGGAACGTCGGTTGGGTGCCTCTCTTGATTGGTCTCGTGAGGTTAGTGCTCAAAACTGTTTTTGAATGGAAAAGAATGTTTTAATTATAACTTGGACAAAGTAACTATTCTTTGGTGAGTTGTTTACAGTTTTACTAGATGCATTCTTGTTTATTGTTCTTTGCTTGATTATTACTAGTGCTTCACAATGGATGAGAAAAGATCAAAGGCAGTTACAGAGGCTTTTGTTCGTCTTTATAGAGAAGCTCTTATCTACAGGTATGAGGCATCTCTTTGCTATTTCTTTTTTTGAACATGCATGCATTTCTTAGTTCTGGTTGACTTAATCCTTAACATGTATATGATGGATTGAGGTTAATTGACAAAAGTAAAATAAAAAAAAAATCAAAAGATGGATTGTCTCAGTGCTTAATAATTACTTTTCAAAAAGAATCAATGCTTCATAATTACTGGAAAAGAAATAAAATGAAGGGACACTCCTCTTTTGTCATTATCTTCATTCTTCCTCATAGTTGTCAAGGCAATGCTTAGATGCTTTGGTCATACCCAGGTGACAAGGCACCCTTGGATGGTCACCTTGCTTAAGCATCTAGCTATTTTGTATATGGAACTGTAAAATATTTATATATTCTTTTGTTTTTTATATTGTATGAATAAAATGGACATTATTAAACAATTACTCCTTTTGTGTGTTTATATACTAATTTTTACTATTTTCTTATTTGATAGGGTTCAAACAACTCATATAATTGTTTATGCTAACTTAAATCCTTGGAAGACTTCAAAACCTGAATCAATAAGCAAAGAATGTAAAAATTTGTCAAATCAAGACATTCTTATCACCTACCCCATTGTAATACTTTCTTTTTTTAATAATATTTTACTTTGCTATCTTTTGCGTGAATAAGGATAAAGCCCCTGGACTAGATGGTTTCTGGATGACTTTCTTCCCAGAGTAGGAAATAATAATAGTTTGACCTTATGGATGTTTTTGAGGATTTTTTTTGACAGAGAAGTTATCAACATCGGGGTGAACTCGCATCCTTACAAGAACAATCCATTGGCTGAAAACATTAGATATATTTTGATGATTTCTCCTTTGATGACTTGTGGAGGAATTGGTTAATAATAGCTAACACTTCAACAAAGAAGAATAAAATCTTGTCAGAATGGGTTCTGCCTTTGGAAGGTGTCATCAAGTTGAATTTTGATGGAAACAGCCAAGGTAACCCCAAGCCTTCAGGTATAGGGGGTGTCCTGAGAAATAAGGACAGCAACATAATCTCCTTATTCTCAGGATGGTGGGAGTAGGGGACTCCACAAGGGCAGAAATCCTTGCTGCAGTACAAGGAATTCAGATTGCTAACCAGCTTGGGGTGGAGCATCTCCTAGTTGAAGGGGACTCTCAGGTGTTTACAGGATGACTTCTAAACCCAGATACTACCATTTGGGGCTACAAAGATTTCATCAAAAAAGTAAAGTGGTTAACCAGCAATATGAGAGTTGAGGTAAAATGGGTTAGCAGGTCTGCTAATTCTATGGCTGATTCTTTAGCCAAACAGGGGGTTTCCAGGGAAGGCCTTTTTTGTGCTACTTTGTAAACTATTAGTAATCTGGAATTTGTACTTAACTAGCCCGGAGAGGTTGCAACTTGTGTCTCTACTCGGGGACTTTGTACTATTGTCTATTGCTCATTAATAAACTTATTTCAATTATCAAAAAAAACATTGGGGTGAACTCCATGTTTATTGCTGTTATCCACTTATCCCTACGAAATTTGGAGCCACCCATTCAGGCCTATTAGCTTGGTTAGCAGCCCCTATAAGATAACTGCTAAGGGCCTGTCCCTTAGGCTGTGCTTGGTTTGAAGGAAGAACTATATCTCTCAAGGTGGATCTACCAAACTACTAGTTTTCTTCCTCTTGGTCTTGAAGGTTCTAGTTTCAGTGGCAAAAGATATAGAGAAAATCATGTGGATTTTTTTTTTTTGGGATCCAGGAGACTCAAAAAAAAGTGCCATCTCATAAATTGGGAGATAGTGAGTAGAAGGGAAGAGAATGAGGGTTAGGGAGTAGGAAAGTTTATATGGAGGAATCTTTCTCTTCTGGTAAATGGCTATGGGAATTTCCTCTAGATGTGGACAAACTGCAGCACATTGTGATCAAGACTCAAGAATACCTATGGGTTGGACCCAAAGGGATGGGATGCAAGGTCTGTGTCTAGGAGCTCATTCGCTGCCCCATGTATATCTATTTCCAAGATCTTACCTGATTTCTTAGCTCAAATCTATTATAATGTGTTAGATGGGAAAAAACCAGATTTTTGAAGGACCTTTGGTGGGGCAAGTCATCCTTGAGGGATACTCTTTCCTTGGTTTAAAAGAAATCTTTCATTGCTTGACCACTTTATTACCGAGCCCATTTGGGATCTAGATTTAAGAAGGGATCTTAGGGAAAATGAAGTCTCTGAGGCCATTGACATATTTTAATCTCTTTCTGGACTATGTTTGGGCCCTGACACTCCTGATAGCAGAATTTGCTCCAATCTCCTTCTGGATTGTTCTCTGGTGCTTTCTCTTTTCAGGTTCTGCTTCTCCCTTACCCTACTACCAGGGTTTTTCCAATGAAGTCAATTTGGCTTGGCCTTACTCCACCTAAAATAGGGCTTTCTGTTATGAGGTGTATCATCAAAAGATCAACACTTGCGAGGTTCTGGAGAGGAGTCCAAAGTGGTGCCGTTCACCTCATGTCTGTTGCCTATGTTGGTCAAGTGGAGAGACTACTCTACGCTTGCTAATCTCCCGCCCCTTTGTCTCTAGGATTTGGGGGCATTTTCTAAATCTTTTTGATATAGGTGGACTCCTCCAAATGGTGTGGCTAGTCTCTTTGATCATAGTTTCTTTTATCCAAGTACTAAAAGGGCTAAGATACTGTGGGGATGCACAAGAGTGGCCAGGATCTTTAAAGATGAGAACCATACAACAGAAGCTTTCATTGGAAACATTACTATTAAGGTGGTCTTTTAGATAAAAACAACAGCTCTCTTTGATCCTTTTCCTATGGGCAATATAATATGAGGCTCGAAACAGGTTGCATTATCCTCATTTGCCAAAATCCATAAGAACATGAATTTGGTTCCTTTCACCTCGAAATAGCATTGAACTAAACTTTGATGGGTGCAACCTGGGCAACCTTGGTGTTGCATGTATTGGAGGTGTTTTGAAGAATCATGAAGGTACAATTTGACAAACTACTTGTTTCCTATTGGCCAAGTTAACTCAGTTAAAGGTAGAATTGATAGCGCTAGTACTGTAGTAGTGCAAGGCTTGAGGCTTGGGAAAACATTATACTATAGTGATTTGGTAGTGGAAGTGACTACGCACGATCATTGGGTGGTTGAACAGAAACAACAAAGGTCCATGGTGCTATAGACACAGCATACGCGAAGCAATTGGGTTAGCAAGGGAGCTGGCATCGCATTCCATTAGATAAGCAGAACAGCTTATGGGATGGTTGATGCATTTGGCAAAACAAGGTGTCAGCAAGGGTGACTACATCTGAGGAACAGGAAAATGTTGTATATTTGTATCCTAAATAAAAAGAAGGGTTATGGGGAGGGAGTGCAGCTCTCCCTTTGCAGTGCTTTTGGCACACGCATCCGTGTACACATTTAATATTATTTTCTACAAAATCAATAAAGTTTTCAAGTTACCTATAAAAATATTTCTTTACCATAAAAAGCATATAATAAGATGTATCCAAGGTTCAAAGAATTGATACGTATCGGCCTGTAGATACCATGTCGATGGCTTACCGATATGCCCCTCCATGGGTTGTATTGGGTCAAACATTGGTTCAGAGGGTAGCCGGGCCTTAAACCGACCCCTCTGAACCGGTTTAAAAAAATTAAACTTAAAAAAAAGTACCGATACATGCCGATACGCCCTACTGGCATATTGTCCTGTGTCAATACTTTGAACCTTGGATGTATCTTCTGACATACTTATAGTATGCACTCATGGTGATATTTTATTTTTGAGATGTGATAAAATTTCAATGAGTTTCCCACCTTGTAATTTTTGTTGCATGGGATGGTTCCCACCTTATAACTTGTTTTCCAATAGTTCATTTGCCCTTCCCAGCACAATTGCTAGCCAGTTGAGGCATCTCCTCCACTGATATCTGAGAGGATAAACCTCCAAATTGGCTTCGAAAGGATGGGAGCATCTTCTCCTTCAACTCTTCTTGACTGGTGATCCTCCTACCGTTCTCATACTTTTTACCACCCAGACCCACTCACTGTCGTCTTGGGTCCCCCTAATTTTTGTTTGGTTGGTCCTAAAGGGATTAAACCCTTTCTTCATCGAAGAGAAAGAACTATTTTCAAAAATAATTCCAGAAAAACACCTTTAAATATTTATTTATTTATGATAAACTAATTGCATTTAGGCTAGGACTCCTTTCACCTTAGGGTGCCTTGTTTCCTATGGGACACCTAGGTGGTGCTAAGAGGCCCAGGACAACTTTGATTTGTACTAGAGTCCCTAATCTGGTCAAAGCTTTTATATGGTTGATCTTTGTTGATAAGGTGCTTACTATTGAGTATTTTAACAATAGGGGAATGAAAAGTCACAACTGTTTTTGTTTTTTTGATCAATAACAGAAACTTTTCATTGAAAAACTAAAGTTACAAACTAGGGAGAAATAAATTGTCTCAACTCTCCCCAAGAAGGTCAATAGGCAACAATTTTAATATATGCCAAACAAGTAAGAGTGGGCCCACACCATTCAGATTTGAGAATATGTGGCTGTCTCACCCTGGTTTTGTTGAGCTGGTTAAAAATTGGTGGAATGGCACTAATCCTATAACCAATTGGGAGGGTATGAAATTTCATTGGAAGTTGAAGGAGCTAAAAGCAAAGAATAAGGAGTGGAATATCCTTTAGTTTGGTAGGATTGAGGAGAGGAAACAAGTTTTGATTAATCAAATTGAGGAGTTGGATGCTAAGGAAAAGTGGGGGTACCCTTGGAGAGAGGGACAAGCAAGAGAGATGGGAGCTTAGGAAGTAGTTAGAGGACATTTTGTACAAAGAAGTTAGATGGAAACAAAACTCCAAACACAAGTGGGTGAAAGAGGGAGATAGAAAAACTAAATTTTTTCATGCAATGGCACTTTAAGTCAATTTATAGAAGGCCCTTAAATAAGAGAATTTGGTTAGAAGGTCTGGATTGGCCCAAACTATCTGAGGAGTCTAAGAAGTGGCTTGAAAGAAGATTTGAGGTGGAGAAAATAAGGGAAACAATTTTCTCAATGGAATGATCCAAAGCACCAGGATCATATGAATTTACTATGGCTTTTTACCAGGATTGTTGGGAAATATTGAAGCGGGATATTCTTAAAGTATTCAATGAATTTTTTCAAGGGGGGGGGAATAAATTTGGGGATGAACTCAACTTTTATTGCATTGGTCCTAAAGAATGTTGGAGCAAATCATCGAAGAGATTATAGACCTATCAGTTTGGTTAAAAGCTTGTACAAAATTATTGTGAAGGTCTTGTCTTGAAGAATTAGAGAGGTGCTTCCAAGTTTAATCTCACAGAATCAAGGGACATTTGTGGGAAGTAGATAGATTGTGGATCAAATTTTAATTGCTAATGAATGTATGGAGGATCTGAGGGGAACAAGGAAGAAAGGGACAAGTTGGATCTAGAGAAAGCTTATGGCATGGTAGATTGGTCCTTCTTAATGCAAGTGATGGGTTACTTTGGCTTTGGAGAGTAATGATGCAAATGGATCTTGGATGTATTGAGACATGTCATCATTCAATCTTGGTGAATAGAACAATAGGGGATCTCTTTCCGGCCATCAGGGGAATTAGACAAGGGGACCCCCTCTCTCCTTTTCTCTTTACTTTGATTGCAGAAGTTTTGGGGAGACTAATAAAGAAGGCGGATTCAAGGAACTTAGAAAGGGGAGATGGAGGGTTGGAAAAGATACCTATCACCCATCTACAGTTTGTTGATGATACAATTTTTTTTTTTTTTTTTCGTGAAGGGGAGGATATGAGGTAGGTTAGGAATTTGAAGTTGGTAGTTCAACTTCTTGGAAAAAATGTCAATTATGAAAGTGAATTTTGATAATAGTTGTGTGGTGGATTAATATGGAGGGGAGAGATATGATGGAAAGGGCTGAAATTATAGGATGTGTGGTGTCATAGTGGCCTATGAATTACTTGGGGATGCCTTTAGGGGCTTGGAAGAAGGTTAGCCTCTTGGAAGAAGAATTGTTTTATCTCTGGGTGGCAGAACCACTTTGATAAAGTCTACATTGTCTAGCTTGCTAGTGTATTATGTATCTGTTTTTAGGATCCTAGAAAGAATAAGTAGAGTGTTGGAAAAACTAATGAGAGATTTCTTGTGGGAGCTAGGGGAGGACGGGAAAGATCATAGGGTGAATTGGGAAATAACCACTAAGAGTAGAGCTGAAGGTGGCTTGGGATTATGTAATATTCGGAAGAAAAATGGAAAAATGAAGCTTTGTTGGGAAAATGGTTGTGGAGGTTTAAAGGGGATAGGATAAGTTGTGGACTTAAAGTAATTTTGAGTATTCATGGACAGGCTATTCTTGGAATCCATAGATGCCATTGTTCCATCCTTTCTGCAGCACATCAGGAATGACCTTTGTTCTAGGAATCAAGTAAAATTTTGGGAACACCTTTGGGTAGGTGATGTACATTTGAAAGATCAGTTTCCCTCCTTATTTTCCCTCTCCCAGTGTAAAGGGAAGTCTATGTCTGATTTTTTCTTTCCCTCTGAGGTTGTGGAGGTTTAAAGGGGATAGGATAAGTTGTGGACTTAAGGTAATTTTGAGTATTCATGGACAAGCTATTCTTGGAAATCCATACATGCCATTATTCCATCCTTTCTACAGTACATCGGGTATGACCTTTGTTCTTGGAATCAAGTAAAATTTTGTGAACACCATTGGGGGTAGGTGATGTACCTTTGAAAGATCAATTTCCCTCTTTATTTTCCCTCTCTTGGTATAAAGGGAAGTCTGTGTTTGGTTTTTCTTTCCCTCCGAGTCAAACTTTGGGTTTAATTGGGATTTGGGTTTTAGAAGAGGCCTTAGGGAGTCAGAATTTGGAAATGTTCTGGAACTAATTCAGTTTTTGAATGGGGTGGTATTGGATCCTTCAAAGAGGGATAGTAGAATTTGGACCTTATCCACCTCTAAGGCCTTCACCTGTGCTTCTTTCTTTAAGTCCCTGGTGCAACCTAACAACAACTTTGTACAAAGTTTTCCAATACTGGAAGTCTGGGGGTGAGTCGACCCATCCAAGGATTGGAGATTATTTGTTGGGAAGCCTTCCTGGAAAGATGTAATACTTGTGACTTACTTTAGAGAAAAAAGGCCTAATTGGTGCTTGTCTCCAAGTTGGTGCATCCTCGCTAATGGTGAAGGCTCCTACCACTTGTTAATCTTTTGCCCTTTTGTTTCTGATATATGGGACTGGTTTCTTTCTTTATTTGGTTGCAGGTGGATCCCTCCGCCAGATATACAAAGCTTGTTTGCTACTTCTTTCCTTAGATGGCCGAAGAAACGGGGTAGGATTATGTGGAGGTGTGTGAGGGCTGCCATATGCTGGACTTTATGGGAGGAAAGGAACTCAATGACCTTTTCTAATAAGGAAAGGAATAAAGAAAGTATCATTGAGGTAATAACAGTTAGGGTGGTGCACTGGTTAAAATCCTTGGACCTGTTTGTTGACGTCTCTAGGGATATTCTGCTGCAGTTGGTTGGAGGTGGCAAACTCTGCTCCTATTCCATCAATTGTCTGTCCTCTATGGTCACCACCAGCCCTGGGTTTATAAAATTAAATTTTGATAGTAGTAGTGAGGGCAATCTAGGGCCTTCAGGAACAGGAGGTGTGTTTAGAGATGGGAATGGGAAGGTGGTTGCATTGTATTGAGGCCCCACTGGGGTTGGTGACTCTTTCAGAGCTGAGGTATATGCCTTAATGGAAGGTCTAAGGAATATAAAGGAGCTGAATATCCAAAGGCTAGTTGTTGAAGGAGACTCAAAGTTGGTTTTAAGTTGGTTACAGAAGGACAATGGACTCTGGAAATATGCCAATGAGAGAAGGGAGGTTAAGTGGCTAACTAGGGGGTTGGAAGTTCAGATTCATTGGGTGTAGAGAACTGCAAATGCCTTTGCAGATACTTTGGCAAAGCAGGGGTTGGGAAGGGATCAAATGTTTTGGGCTATAGTGTAATTCATTTTCCTGTTCTATTGGGGAGAGTTAAGTCATTTTGTCTCTCCCCAGAGTGCTGTATTTATCTTTTCTCTTAATAAATTGAGTTTTTCTGTTATTGATAAAAAAATTATCCCAGACAGGTAAGGTTAGTTGAGAATCAGAGACTACCTAGGGATGATGGGATGCTTGGAAAAATCTCCTTCATATGGTATCCATTCTTCACTATGTCTTCAAGTAGAGGATGGTATACCACAAAGAAGGCTATAGGTTCTTTACTAAATCTCTCTGCTTTCATTCTTGTCAATAAAACCTCTTTTGACTTGTGAATAAGCCATTCTACAGGACTTTTAAGTGTTAACAATGATGAATTTGAAAATTTTTATTTCTGCATTAACTGGTCTTTGCCTATTTTGTACACACTGAGATCCTCAATTTATTGCTAATGGCAGTAATCTGATATTTTTATGTTCTTAGTAACTTTCTTCTGGATCATATAATACATTTTCAAAATTTTATATTTATAATATCATCTATGTTGCAGGGATCATCGGCTAGTGAACTGGGATTGCATCTTGCGAACAGCCATATCTGATATTGAGGTATTCTAAGAAACTTATATGTTTTGTGTTAATATTTCCTGCAGTTCTAATGGCTATTTGGTGGTTGTAGGTGGACTATAGGGACATCAAAGAAAGAACTCTGTTAAAAGTTCCTGGGTATGAAGATCCAGTGGAATTTGGTGTTCTGACATCTTTTGCTTACCCTCTAGAGGGAGGGCTGGGTGATATTGTTGTTGCTACAACCAGAGTGGAAACAATGCTTGGTGATACTGCAATTGCTATACATCCTGAGGACAAGCGGTACAGTCATTTACATGGGAAGTTTGCAATTCACCCATTTAATGGACGAAAGCTCCCTATAATTTGTGATGCCATACTTGTTGATCCAGAATTTGGTACTGGTGCTGTTAAGGTAAATGAAATCTGTTTTGGTCACTCACTACCATTATTGAGCCTTAAAGATAATTTTCTTCTGATTTCTTTTGGTTTTGATTTTGCATTGTCATTCACATACTTATTGCCTAAACATTCATGTCATGGGTTTTATCAGATCACCCCAGCACATGACCCAAATGATTTTGAGGTTGGAAAGCGACATAATCTTGAATTCATCAACATTTTCACTGATGATGGGAAAATAAATAGTAATGGTGGTTCGGAATTTGAAGGGATGCCACGGTTTAAAGCACGTACAGCTGTAATTGAAGCATTACAGAAGAAGGTATTAGTATTCTGATACACCAGAAGTTGCATATCTTTACATTCAGAATCAGTAATTATAATTTCAGGCATTACCTTTGGTTTCATGTTCTTCTATCTGTTTGCTTTGTTGACTAGCTGGGCAGGAGTGGAGGGGATTATCAATAGTTATAAATTAGCTGAAATCTGGATATGGTGTGCAGTGGGCTTTGCAAGTTTTAGTTAGACATACTAGAGTTTTGGGAATTAGTCTGAACTTCTTATTCAGGTGAATTCCCAGTTTTGCAAATAGTATGGTTGACTCTCTAGCTACGGTTGGAGTCTCCTGGGAAAACTTGTTTTGGGATGAGCCTGGATTGTAGGGATCCTTGTAAGGTAACTAGTTTAGAAGGCAGAGATGGAAGTGACTAGCTTTATGCTGTTTCTCTACTTTATATGACAATATCTTGTACAGTTCGTGGGTAGTTCTCATTGTTAACAAAATTATGAATTAATGTTTCACCTAATCAGACTGAATAATTTGCAATGCTTAACATTCCATTTTGTTTCATGGAGATCAATGTTTTGCTTATTGATGCATTGCATTTTGTTTTTGGTTTTTATTCACTCCTGTTAGCTCTGAAGTTTTCTAAAACTTTAAATCTTTGGTTTGTATATAGGGACTCTACCGGGGTGCTCAAAATAATGAGATGCGCCTGGGCCTTTGTTCGAGAAGCAATGATGTTGTAGAACCAATGATAAAACCACAGTGGTTTGTCAATTGTAACAGTATGGCAAAAGAGGCTCTTGATGCTGTTATGGATGATGGAAATAGAAAGGTGGAAATCATTCCAAAACAGTATGCTGCTGAATGGAGGAGGTGCGGTCACATACCATATTTCCATTGTTGGTGAAATTTTCTTCATTTTTCCATGGTGACACAAATATTCCACTTTCTGAAAATTGTGTCAGAGTCCATGTCATATTCATGAATTATAGGTTGTGCAAAATGGAAGGGTGCATCCAGAGTCTTATGTGACAGGGAAACACTACTTAGGCTCAAAGGAAAATTTTATGCATTGGTTGCAAGGCCAGCAGTGTTGTATGGAGCATTGTGTTGGGCTGTCAGGAAACAACATTCAGAAAACGAGAAGTAGAAATGCAAAACAAGATTCATGTAACTGACCCCATATAGTTCAGACAAAGCTTAGATAATGATGATGATGAGACCATGTCATTTTCAACTCTTAATCTCTTACTTATGTATCACATTATTGTTTTTACAGATTAATCTGTTCAAAGTACTTTATGATCATTCTTACATTGCAATATGAATATAAGTCATGACATATGAGAAGTGCTGATTTGGGCACATCGAATTTTTTGGTAATCTGGCACACCTCTTTAGAAAAGATGATAGATATCCCACTTTATAATGATTGAAAATTAGCACAAAACTAGTTGTTCCCATATACCTACCTAGAATAACTATAACTTATGGCTGGTTATACCTGCCACATTGATTTTCCACTAGTTTCTTTGTCAGACATCAGTATGGGAAGTGAAAACATGATTGTGTCCATGTTATCTAGATGCTACTGTTTAAAGATTAAGACACTTCCACGATTGTTCCTGAAAACTCCTATTCCTGAATTGTTTGGATTACTAATCTACAGTATTCAAGGCTCAGCTTGATAAGTTCATCCATAGGAGGGGATCGATGAAAGCACCAAGCTCTTAGCTGAGGAGGAACAGGGAACACTCTTCCAACATCTAATAATATATTCAGTAGAAAATGGACCAAACTCAGCCTTTGATTTAACCTAATCAATAAGTGCTTTGGGTTGTGTTTTTTCTTCATTTATCCTTGCATTCTTCTCTCTTACATTGTCTACAGTATTGCAGCCCTTGTGCATCTCCACATGAGTCTTCAGTAAAATTGAAGAAAACTCATCCATGGATTTCTTCTTCAAACATTGTCTAGTAATTACTAACTTGTTGCTGCTAAATATAACAGATGGTTGGAGAACATTCGGGATTGGTGCATCTCAAGGCAACTTTGGTGGGGCCACCGCATTCCAGCTTGGTATGTTTTGCTTGATGATGACCAACTGAAGGAGTTTGGTGCTTACAATGATCACTGGGTTGTTGCAAGAAATGAGGAAGAAGCTCTGTTAGAGGCAAACAAAATATTTTCTGGCAAAAAGTTTCAGATGACTCAAGATCCAGATGTACTAGATACTTGGTTTTCTTCTGGTCTCTTTCCATTATCTGTGCTGGGCTGGCCAGATGAAACGGAAGATTTGAAGACATTTTATCCAACTTCAGTTCTTGAAACTGGACATGACATATTATTTTTTTGGGTTGCTCGGATGGTGATGCTGGGAATGAAACTTGGAGGTGATGTACCTTTTAGAAAGGTGAGAAGAATTTATCTTCCATATATGCAGAACTAAAAGCAATCAAAATCGAGAGAGAGCAATTCTTTACATTTACAGGCTGATATATAAAACTGGATCAAAAAGTTCTGGACGATACATAAGCCTATTTGTTATTAAAATGGACTTACAGAATTTAAATGAAAGGGTTCTTAGAAAAAAAATTATTAATTGATCTTATTCCCAGCTGAGTGAATACAGAAATCAGCACACCTGAAGTTCAACCCGTCAACCCAACTAAAGCACCCCTTGTACTTAAAGAGCCCACTCTCCAAATACAATTCATTTCTAGCTTCCCATCCCTATGTGAGCATGCATTGTGGAGAGAGGATCCATTAATGTAGATTCAAAGAGACGGTTTTGTCCATCATTGTACATAGCATCTCATCTACACATTTTTTTGCCATATAATTCGGTTATATTTGCTTTTATTCTAAAAAAGATATGGCCTTTCAAAGTATATAATTACTTGTGGATTTGCATCAACAACCATGTTCTGCAGGTATGTTACATGGTAATTAGCAGCCAAAAGGATGTGTACCTAATTTAGGAACATACAGAGGGAATGAATTCCTTTAAGGTTTATTGAACCTCTAGATGCAAGCTTTAAGTCATTAGAGAAATGACTTTAAGAGATGGTTTTATCTGTTCAATTTTCTGTATGGCTCTTTCTTGTCCATGCATGAAACATCACATAACTTTTTTACCAATCAAAAAAAAAAAAAAAAAACAAAACATCACAAAACTTATTTTTTTTGGTGACGGATCTGTAATGGAAGTATAGTTTTTCATTTTCCATTGTACTTTACTCAATGACTAATATTTACTTTAGCATGCTTGTCTGCATGAAAGATCACACATCGTAGTATATTGGTTGGTTTTCCATGATAATTAAAGCAGAAACAAGGATTCACTTAGAAGTATTTGCAGGTTTACTTGCACCCAATGATTCGTGATGCACATGGCCGTAAAATGTCAAAATCCCTGGGAAATGTTATTGATCCACTTGAAGTAATAAATGGAATATCACTGAAAGGCCTCCATAAGAGGCTGGAGGAGGGTAACCTTGATCCAAATGAGCTGGCTATTGCCAAAGAAGGGCAAGAGAAAGACTTTCCAGATGGTATTGCTGAGTGTGGTGCGGATGCTCTCCGCTTTGCTCTTGTCTCATATACTGCACAGGTTGTCTTTTAAATTTATTTCTCCTAGGTTTATTTTGAATTTCCAATCAATTAAAACTTCTTATGCTTTCTTGCAGTCTGACAAGATAAATTTGGATATCCAAAGAGTTGTTAGCTACCGCCAGTGGTGCAATAAGCTGTGGAATGCTATCCGTTTTGCCATGGGAAAACTTGGAGAGGATTATGTACCTCCCATTAGTCTATCTCTTGAATCCATGCCATTCAGCTGCAAGTGGATACTTTCAGTTTTGAACAGTGCCATATCCAAAACTGTATCATCCCTTAATTCATATGAGTTCTCAGATGCAGCTACTGCCATATATTCATGGTGGCAGTACCAGTTATGTGATGTTTTTATTGAAACCATTAAACCCTATTTTTCTGGTGCTGATACAAAGTTCGACTCTGAAAGGATTGCTGCACGATATACTTTGTGGGTTTGCCTGGACAATGGTTTGCGTTTGCTCCACCCATTTATGCCCTTTGTTACAGAAGAACTGTGGCAACGCCTTCCTCAAGCAACAGGGGTTACCAAGAAAGAATCTGTCATGATATCCGAGTATCCATCAGTTGTTAAGGTAGGACCAATTTCCACAATTGATAAGAGAAAATCTAAGAGTTACTTAAGGACAATTAAGATCTGAGTCCAATTAAAATTCATATATATATGCAATAAAATTATGTATATAATATTATGATATTATATATAATTATAGAAAGTTTATAATTAATAAAAGAGGTCTTTGCCCAATATTGGTTTCTGCAATGTAGAGTCTTGGTTCTCTTGGAATGGATAGACTAGGTATGGTCCTGTCCTCAGACATGAACCTGCTTTCTAATGCATGGCAGCCCAAGATTTTATAGAAGTTTATAATTAATAAATTGATTCTTTTATATGTATATAAATTTATAAGTTTAAAAAATAATTATTATTTTTTGAATCTTTTAAAATTTTTGTTATTCTAAATGAATTCAGATTAAGTCGAAATCTGATCTAAGTCCTATAAATCAGATTTCAGATTTAAAGCTTCATTAATTGGACTGGATCCAGATGTGCTGGATCTGATCTGATTCTTACCCAATAAAAGTCCCAACTGCACTGCATCTTCTTGGGTTTTTCCTCTAGGATCTCATAGGTCAGCTAAAGATGATCACGGTGACTGAATGCTGAAGGGTGCAGGCAAAACTTTGGCAACTATATCCATTATGTAACCGATCGGATAGTGGGCCCTATCCTAGTTCATTTATATAGCATACACTATATGCTGTTACTAGGCCATCCTTGAGTGTCTCTTGGTTCTTAACTTATTTCTGGCTTTTGATTCCCCTATTGTTTGCTTTAATAGGAATGGACAAATGAAAGAATAGAACAAGAGGTGGATCTAATTGTGTCAATTGTGAAATCTCATAGATCACTCCGGTCGTCATTGCCTTCAAATCAAAGACTTGGAAGGTATATACCCAAATTTCTTTTTTGCCTACCTTAAAACAATTAATTTATCTTGTTCTTCACTTTATTCTTTATTAACTTTATTGGTTCCAAAAATAACTCTAATATTCCTTTCATCTTCAGACAACCGGCATTAGTGCTTTGCTTGAAGGATGAAGTTAAGGAGATCATTGAAGCTTACAAGCAGGATATTATAACACTTGCGAATTTGTCATCTTTGAAGGTATGTTTTGCAGATCTCATCTTATGCTTTTCTTGGACTTGTACTTTTTGATAAGTGTCCTTTTTATTAGTAGAAAATAGGATTTCACTATCATATGCATATAGTGATTTAAAAGGCACACCTAGGCCCACATGCAAGATGCATTTCAAGGTTTGTGCCTTGCCTAAGTCCAGGCGCAGCCCCTTTGAAATGGTGCATGCCTAGTGTGCCTTGTGCCTCAGTTAAATTTTGTACTTTTTTGAAGCATGGTGTCTGGGTATGGCATTCACCCCCCTACCATGCCCCTTGAGGCAAGCCCAACTGGAGTGGTGTAGAACCCCCTTATTGTTAATGTTCATTCATTCTTCTTAATACAACAAATTTTTTCAAATGTAATAAACTATAATTAGAACTATAAAACCTTTTTTTTTTGTACGGATTAAGACCCTAACATGGACTTGTTTGGGCTTACCACAAGGAGCTTGGTACAAATGTGGTTCATGAAATTAGGAATGAATTTAACATCACAGTAGCTATTTGAAGTAATATATTGATAAAAAAAGCTATTTGAAATAATATGATTGGGTAAGAAATAAAGAGTGGAAACTTTGGCATCCTTGAATTGTTGATTCTTGAATTATTACTGATAAAAAAAATGTTGATTCTTGAATATATTTTATATGTTTGTTTTTTTTTGTTTTTTTTTTTTTGCATTCTCTTTGAATTGTTATATATTTTAATTTGAGATAATAGGCTTTTAAAACATTTTCTTTAAAATCATTGTTTGCATTTTTTAACTTGGGCACAAAAGGACCTTTGCGCATTGCTCTTTTAAACCATTGATGCATAGAACTTATGGGAAAAATAACAGAGGTTAATGTGGAATTCATCTAGAGAAAAAATTTGTACTAAAAGACAAAGGTACTTATACACCCACGTCAAGGTTTCCCAGTCCAGTGAAAACTGTCCATTTGAAGATAATATATATCCATTAATGTTGTAAAGATCATAATCATATTGAGATGGTCGATTAAGTCAATTTGTGAACCATATTGCAAATCATAAAATTATTTCCTTGTTTCCCCTTTCCTCTTGCAAATCATAAAATTTTTTCTTTAGGGAAATTGTCAAAAACTCACCATGAGTTTTCAGTATTTCTCTTAAACTCAACTTTTCAAAACGTCTAAAACTCACCATGTCACTAACTTGATGTTAAAGAGACTAACGGCTGTTAATATATTACTATTTTAACCTTCATAGAAAAATATAAAATATATACATATATTTTAATATTTAGACATGAAAAAAAGGAAAAGTTCAAAAAATATTTTCAAATATAAAAACACAGAAATTACAAAAAATATAAAAAATTATAGAAATTGCACACAAAATAAAAAATTATTTTCAAATTATAGAAACTATAGAAATTGAAAGACAAAATCAGAAAATAAAAATTGTAGAAAAAACACCAAAAATTATAGAAAAATATGGAAATTTCAAATAAATAACAAAAAATACAGGAAATTTTATAGATGGTAGAAAATAGAAAAATGTAAAAAATAGAAAAATATAAAAAAACAGAAATTATAAAAAAAACATTAGAAATTATAACAAAACACTAAAAATGTAAAAAAAAAATAAAATTGAAAAATGAAAAAGACCCTTTTCCTCCAACTCGCCATTCAAGGGTGATTTGGTCATAAAAGTTGTTATTTATGCTGATGTGGACACCTCTGTTAATAAACATTAACGATGTACTAACGGAAGGTGAGTTTTGGAAAATAAAAACTTACTGACATGGTGAGTTTTAGATGTTTTGAAAAATTATGGTGAGTTTAAGAGAAATGCTGAAAACACATGGTGAGTTTTAGACAATTTCCCTTTTCTTTATGATTTGCAATATTATCAATAAGACCTCCCCTTTCAACTAATGTTATGCATCTTTATTCTTCTTAATATAAAAGATTTTTATTAAAAATAAAGAAAAAATGAGATCCCCCTTTCCTCTTTATCCTCCTCCTAACCCCCTCCTCTTAAGGAGGCTTATGCCTCTTGCGTTCTGAACTACACCTCATGCCTCTAGATAGTGGAATGCCTCACGTCATGCCTCTGTTTTAAAACATTGATATCAAGTGTAGTTCCTTTAGTGGTGTAGATATGGAGTCACTCAAACTAGTGTCATGGAATAACTATATAAGGGGTCTAAATTCAGGTCATAGGAGGGTGGCTGACAATGCGTTTTTGAAAAGATGAATAAAATTGTTTTGGGTATTGGGATGTAATGAGCAGAGAATTATATATATCCTCTGTTCAGTTTCCCATTGTACGGAGGTCTCATTGTATTTTGTCTTTTGATTTTTAATGAATACTTTACCTTACAGTCTAAAAAAATTGTATGTTTAAACAGTTATGATATCCTTGTCTATCTCTGGAGTTGGGATATGCATGTTTCAAAAATTCTTTCCACTGTTCCTGATTCCCCAAAACAATGCAAAATAACCATCTCTTGTGAACTTATTTTTTCATAACTTAATGTAGGAGAAGGCCACGACAACATTTTCATGAGTTGCCACTTCTTGTCTCTTGTTGCTCATGATCTGCTTTTGGGCAATGTTTTTGTTTTATTTGTATTCTAAACTAGACTTCTTATCAAGTTAAGTTGTGGGGGTTTTATAAAATGTTACATTTTCTTGTTAGCCCTGCTTCTCTCTAGTATATTTCTATTTGCTATAGATTCTTTATAACTGCAAAATACTTCTTGCAGGTTCTAAGAGAGCATGATGCCATGCTGGATGAATGTGCAGTTTCCATTGTAAATGAAAACCTTTCTGTCCACCTCCCATTACAAGGAACTCTTAATGCAGAAGTTGAACATGAAAAGCTAAAGAAAAAGAGAGAAGAGTTACTAAAGTGAGTCCTCTATGGTTTACAGCTGTCTGAAATTTTGTTTTAGTATATTCTTAACTTTTCTGAAGTGAAACTAGGGGTGCAACTCGGGTTGGCCCAAGTCAGCATTTTACACTGCTTTGGGCTCGAGCTTTGGGCCAGACCCATTGAAATTTTGACAAAAGCCTAACCTGAGCCTGCCCAAGTTGCACCTCCACTTCTGTGTGAAATTGATGACTTTTCCTCAGGCTCAGTTTGGAAAGAGAGTACAAATGCAAATATGTACAGCATAAATACATACAAAATATAAGGTTTTGCACTCTACATATTTGCATTTGTACTCCTTCCAAACTCAGCCTCAGCAACAAAATAGATGGTGGAAACTCTTACACATTAAGTGGAAAGTGTGCTTTGTTTACCAGTGGTAGAGTTGCATTATTTTGCGGTAGATATTTCAATTGAAGATCAGTCGTGTTAGATGACATAGCCATTGTGATATGACCTAAAACCAGATACACTGTTGTCATATGCAAAGATTTTCTCAACTGATTCATTTGGGTTCGACATTTCATCTCCTAATTCAGTACCGTTCAAATCTGTACTAAATTTCCTTTTGAGTGTTAAAGTGAGTCTTTCTCTATGGTTTATAGCTATCTGAAATTTTGTGTAGAGAGAATAAAAGAATCTTGTAGATGCAATGTGATAGATATTAAAGAGGGTATTCTGCCGCATCTTGGGCATTGATTCAAAAAGAACTTCATGTCATTAAGCATTGGGACATTTTTAAAAACCTCCTACAAGTTCTTTATCAGAAAAGTAGAAAAAAAATCCTACAAGCTTTAGAATCTTCTCTGTTCTCAAAAACTCCTATTAACTAAAATCAACTCCTTAGGTGAATTGTACCCCTTCGGAAACAGGGATTTATTGGAAGATAGAGATGGCAATATCATTTGGACTTTCAGGGAGCCAATTGGTAATTACCCTCGAAGCTAATTGAGATATAATTGTAATTGGCGTCTTATAATCATGTGATGAGATGGATCTCCAGGAATTTAAATGAAATTGCTGGTTTGACAAAAAAAAAATGAAATTGCTGATAGGCTAGCTAGGTCAGGGGTTAACAATGTACAGAGGGTTCACATTTCGATTGTCTTGTGGCTGTTCGTTTGATATTCATCCTAGACGCTATGATTAGAAGCCTAAAGAATTAGTATTCTTCTAGAAACAAAAAATTATGGCATGTGTTTGGGGATATTCAATTATTTTGTTGGGTATTCATGAATGTGAATTTTCCTTGCACTATTGCGTTCAACTATATAAAATGTTTATTTATATGTATATATATTTATGTATACTATTCATTTTCACCATGATTAGAAGCCTGTGTTGATTTCTGAAGGACTCGGTTGTAGATCACCTTGTGCTACTGTGGCCAAAAGTAAATTCAATTGGATGTTAGGTCCTAATTACTTGATAGCTGGGTATCTTCTATGTGAACTTGCATACTCTGCACCACCAATCAATATCAATCTGGCACACCAATGGTGTGACATCATCTAGAAAAAAGACTTTAAGTTTTGAAATGGGGAAGGACAGTCTAGTTGTGGCAGATTTCTATTGGTTTAGTGCAGAGGACGTAATTCTTCCTTCCATGCAACTCTTCAACATATGCATTGTCTTTGAGAAGAAAAATGCAGGTGTTATTCACATATAATGAATGACTGATAAAGATAATATTGGACAACATTATTATTGGATCGAAGCATAGCATGTGAAATTTTTACTTGTATAGTTTATCTATCTTCTATATTAATAACACCACATCGTCATTCAAATTTGTATTGGCAGGCAGCAGGAAAATTTAATGCAGATGATGAATAGTTCTGGTTACAAGGAGAAGGTACCAGTCCACATTCAAGAAGACAATGTGGCAAAGCTTAAAAAGCTGATGGAAGAACTTGACATAGTTGAAAAAGCAGATCGTAGGTTGGGTCGTGAAAATGCAAATGGCATTGAAGAAAACAAGGATAGTCTTTTCTCCAGCTGATAAATAGAAAATAGCACCAGAAAAGGATGTTTTTAAGAATACTGTGGCAGGCTGACAAATTGTGTTTTTTTTTCATGAACTTGTGCAATTTATTCAAGAGCTGGACTCTGGTGGTATTATTGTAGAGAAGAATCTCTGTAATTTTTTTTCTCAAAGAAAAAGGTCTCTGGGCATTTATTTCTAAATAAAAATGTTTGTGCATCCCTGTGCCGTGGGTGGGGTTGGGCAGTGGTAACTGGTAAGTCTAAATCAATGTTATCAAACTCGGACCAGACAACCATTTTAGGCTTTTAGCGACTGGGTGATGGGTCAAATGGGAGATCGGCTTCTATCAGGGCAAACTTGTATGGTTGGATTTGTTTAAATAGAAAAAAGTCTGTAATTTATTATGATTCTAGGATACCTTTAAAGTTGGTCGAAATCTGACCTGGATAACATTTCGTAGAACCTGGTTCTGTTCACCCCAGTTGTCTGCTACAGATGGCATCATTGTTTTGGTCTGTTTTTGGTCATAGGTTGAAGTATTTTGAAGCTCCAGGATGTATTGACCTGCATGAGAAGTTGGTAGATGCCAATCTAAGAAGAGGGTGGTTTTCCCTGTTGTGAACGCAGATACCATTGAAGTAATATGACTGTCAAACTTGCACAAGACTTGTGGGCCATTGGCCCTATTTCTATTATTTCTTTTGTGAACATTGGGTCTCACGACAGATCCCAACTTCTCTTGATTGAGTCCACTCCCTCGTAGTTGAGACAAGTGTCTCTAGGGTTTTTGATTCCTCCTAAGAGCCTTGCCACCAACCGTTGTTTCTATCTAAGTCAAGCGTTATGATAACATGGCCAGAGTCTAACAATCTTGATTCCCCATGCAATTTGAGTCAAAACATGTACATATAAATAGAAAATAATTTTATTTGGAATAAGAAAATAATAGTATTAACATATTTTGTGTTGTGTGTACATGGAGAAAACCCATCCAACGATGTAAGCTATATACATTGGCCAAATGACTTGCACAGTTGCACTCGAGGGCCTATGGCCACTCATCCCACCATCTCCCACTTGGCCATTAAGGCCCGAAAGATTTAAGGTGCTGACAGCCCCATTGAAGATATGTGCCCTCTAGGCTCTAAATTCCTTCACGGTAATGGGCTTTGTAAGTGGATCGGCAACTATATACTCTGACACCACTATTTCTTTTAATCTTTTCGCTGATAGACATAATGTAACTCAATGTGCTTCCCTTTGGGTCCTATTCACCATTCTTCATGGTCTGAACTGCTGCATGGTTCTCATTGAATAGTGTGACCGATCCTTGTGGAAAAGGTTCACTGTCGAAATATTGATGCAGGTTATCTAAAAAATACGAGAAAGTGGAAAAGGTTCATTGCAAGTAGGGGTGGATTCAAGCTGAGTCGAATGGCTAGCTATTCGAGCTCGGCTCCCCAAGGTAGTACAAGGTTCGACCACGAGCTTGGTTCGAGCTAGAACCTTGAACTCGAGCTCGGCTCGATTAATAAACGAGCCTGTAAATTGGGCTCAAGCTCAATTGAAACTGAATCAAGCCGAACTCGAATAGCTCGTGAAGAGCTCAGCTCGTTAAGAGCTCGGCTCGTGGCCACCCCTAACTGCAAGCTGAGTATAGTGATTTGATAGAGGTTGCACATGATACCATCAAATGAACTTGGAAAGAATAATCAAAACAAAAGCAAAAAAGAATCATCAGCGTGGTATTCTTGGGAACTCTTGAAGAAATGGTCAATCCAACTAGTAAATAGTTTCCCATGGTGGCTAGTATGAGGCACACTCCCCTTTAGGCTTTAGCTACTTGTCTTCCACCATAAGACGATCATAAATAGCCTTGGCGCGATCTTTCGAATGAGACTAGACATTAGACAAATAAACCACCGGGGCTTGACCGATATCATGGAGGCTAGTGAGAGTTCAGACATCCTCCAAAGTTATAAAAAACTTTCCCCAATTGGTGACAAAAGTGTCTCTAGAAAACTTATGTCATATCATTCACATGGTTTTCAAAACCGGACTGGATGGTCGGATCGGAAAACCGGGGGCTGGTCAGGTGACCGGTTCTGTTTTCCCCCAAACTGGATTTTTGTCAAAAAACGTTGATTTGATCAGCAAACCATTGACCCGGGCGGTTGAACCGTTCAACGGCTTTGACCAATTTTTGTTTTTCTATTTTTTTGTCAGAATGGGCTGACTGTTAGGTTTGAACTGCCAGACCATTCGACCCAAGAACCGGACCCCTGACCATCTCGTTGTCCGGGTCGGTTTTAAAAACCTTGATCACTCATTCAACTCTCATATGTGTGCTAAGTGATAGAATAGGGTCTAGCCTTGGTGAAAGTTGTGGAACACTTGGTGTCTTGAGATTAAGGAAATTGGCAATCAACTTTGGAGGAATTAAATTGAAAGGGAGCTTGCCAGTAGGTCCAACAGTGATATATAGAGGAAGATAGCGAATAAGAGAGTTTAGAAGATTAGAATTTTCACCAGACCAGCCTCGTCCAAGTTTTCAACAATAATAACAGGGTCTAGCAAGAAAATTCTAGATCCCAAAACATCATTAACAATGAAAAAGCTTGGAATGCGCCATGGTTGCAAATGTAAAGAACAAGTAGACAAACAAAGAAAACGAATGTACAGAATTTTGGGGTCTAAGACCCTTTCAAAAGCTCTTGAGATATTTGGGAGCTAATTTTTTGAAAATCTCTTCAAAATTGGCCAATTTGGGGGAAGGGCTAATCTTTCAAAAAATTCTTTAGAGGTTAGGCCTAAGCGGGATGGATCGGGGTAACCCAGGCCAAGGTTGGATCACACCTGGGCTATCCAAGCCCATCCGGAACTTAGATCAGTACTGAATTTTCTGGCGTAGGCCCAATCCTCAGCCCAAAAACTTAAGCCCAATCTATGGAAAACCTTAATTTGGACCCACCCAAGTTGAGGCTGTAGCTAGAATCCCTCACTCGTTTATTCTTAGATAATGTTATAAACATTGCAATCTTTATGGAATCTCAATGAGCCACACCGTCACATTTTCTAAAACAAATTGGCTATATTGCTCCATTGCCTTCAATAACTTCCCCATGAACATTACCTGAATTATCTCTTCTTCTTCTTCTTCTTCTTCTCATTATGAATTTTCAAAATATTAATTTAATCATCCACCATCTCCGGCTAGTAAAACATCAATCAAGATCATCATTCTTTACCAAAATAACAAAGACCACCAATTTTTTTTTTTTTTTTTTTGTGATTCTAATTCCTTTTTTTAAGCTAATAAAAAATGAGCTGATATTAAATGAAAAACTACATAAAAGCGAAATAAATAAATAAAGTAGGAGGATACATGTAAGACACCTCACATGGGTTTTCCTGCCCAAATGATCATCAGATCACTAATGTGTTTCTGTGAAGATGATGAGTTCAAGAGGATGATTGCGTTTCATTTGTAGTTCTTCTAGTGGTCCCGTTTGTAGGAAGGTGGATTGTTGTGGTGGTTCAAATAATTTACTGATCTTCTAAGGGTGATAAGAATCTGGACCAGACATGTTGATGGGTCGGGCTTGGGTTGAAAATTTTCCAAAATTTAAATACGCCCGGCCTAAAATCCGAGCCCAAGGCAGTGTAAAGCCAAACTCATGGGCTTCCCACGAACAGGTCTAGTCTGGATCTGTTACCCACAACACTACTCACAAGTGACTACAATTGCATATTGGAAATATCTCAGTTGTCGTCGTTCATGGGAAGTTCACAATACATGGCTGTAGTGTCTTGTGGGTACATGTGTGTAAGTCCCGATATACCACCCACAAGATGCTTCCCATGCCCTACCCACAGGGACTATAGCCATATGCATCCAGAATATCTCCTTTACTTGTATGTTGTCATTCATAGCGTCTTGTAGGTACATGTGGGTAAGTCCCGATATGTTACCCACAAGATGCTTCCCATGCCCTACCCATAGGGACTATAGCCATGCATCCAGAATGTCTACTTTACTTGTATGTTGTCATTCATGAAACATATTCTCAATGTGGGGCTGTAGCGTCTTGTGGGTAGCAGATCCAAGCTCGAAATTGATTGATTGATATGTAAGAAGTTATATTATTGTTATTGTTAATGTAATAAAAAATTGGGCATTATTGATGATTATTAAAAAAAAAATGAACAAGATCGATGAAGTTGACTATTTTGATAATATGAAGATAGACACCGAATTTGATGGCTTGGAACACTAAAAAATAAAGATAAGATGGCTCCTCTAATGCATTATCTTTACTTAGCCTTAGGTAGATATATATGGATTTTTGGAAGCTCATTCAATAGATAAGAATGAGCTTCCCAAAAAGAGAAGATAAAGAGTGTGGGTTTTCTGTTTTTCTTTTTTTGAGAAAAAAGTAATGTGGGTTTGGATTGTATGTCAATTTATGTAGATGAGTGGCTGAATTAGTGTTTAGAAATAGTTAACCAAACATGATATGGTGATTTGGAATTCCACAATGAGAACTCATAAGGAATCATCCAAACAGCATTCTAAATTTTATAATCCAATTTCCCAAGATATAATTCTGAAAATGCTTAGAGCTAGCCTTTGTATCCCTCCTAGAATAGTAAGACTATAATGGATTGGATGGAATTCAGATAGTGGCATATACAAATCTGATTTGATAAGAACATTGGAGATCCGAATTTGATTCGATATATGAAGGAGGAGGTGTCAAATGCAGATTTGGAATCGGTTTATTTAGGGGATGTTCGATAACATGGTTGATTTTGTCTTTGAAAATATAAAACAACTGATGGCGATTGATTTTGTTTTCAAAAATAAAACCAACCATGTTATCGAACACCCCCTTATAGGAAGTTTCAAAAAAATCAAAACCATATGGTTTGAAAACAATTTGGTTCTTAAAACAAATACACAGAAAATGTGTTGTTCATCATATATTTGGTACCAAAAACAAATACACAGAAAATGTGTTATTCATCATATGCTTTTTTTTTAAAGCATATAAATTAATTTATTTTTGTTTTTGTTTGTTTTAAAAAGCATCACTTGTTAACATGAATTGCTTTTTTAAAAACAATAAAAAAAAACTT